AGCTACATTGGTCAGGTGAATATCTGGCATCAGGGTTGGAGCTAAGGATCGTGCGAATGGACGGAAAACCGCACAAGTACTCCTCGACTTTCAATCGCTCAGAGTTACAATGGCACGGAAAACGTGATTCCCGCAAGAGCGACCAGCTTCACCGTCGTTGACTTCTCTGCTGCCTCCTTCAGCATCCCTGTGGATCTCCTCACAAAGAGTCTCTTTGCGTTGACACGGGACTAGAGGAGACATCCAGTTACACACCACCTCAAGGAGTCGTAAATCTCTCTTAATGAGAGTGAAGAGTTCATTCTCCGGGTGTGTGGGCTGGTTTCCAAAGCGTTTCGTTACCAGGCTAGGGTATCGTCTCCAGCGGAGTTGAGGGGGTGTGGGTGTGTTGAGGGTCTTGTGATGGGTCAGGTGTGAGTCATCAGTGGGAGGCTTGCGATGGCTCTTGGGATGAGGTTACATCAGCTCAAATTCCTTGGGAGGTGAACTGATGAGAGATGGGGGATTGCGCGGGATGGTTGAGGGTGCGGTTGATTTGGATTCTGAGGGGTTCGTAGGTCAGTGTGTCTGTTGATGGAATTGCCAGACCCATCACAAGACCCTCATTAGACACACACCCAGCCCTGAAGCCCTTGATGCCGACATCCCCTAAACCAGGGGTCCCCAACCCCCGGGCCGTGGACTGGTACCGGGGCGCGGCATGCCAGCAAGCGGGCCGCACACACAAGCAAAGCCCCATCCGTGGGATGCAGGCAGCACACAAAAGCACGCACCCTCCGGTCCACGGAAAAACCTCTCTCCACGTAACCGGTCCCTGGTGCCCAAAGGGTTGAGGACCCCTGCCCTAAACGTCACTGAAGATGTATCGTCCCTGCCTCCCCCTCCCCAGTATCCCCCCCGGTCTCTCAGGATACACTGATCGTCCAGGGTGTTCAGAGTGAAGCGCGTGTTGGAGAAGCGAGCAAAACCGTCTCGGTACAGCCACGCTTTGAGAGGGAGATACTGCGGAAAGAGAAGTGGGTGATCAGAGGCAGGATCGTCCCAGAACTTTAAGATAGGTGGACTTCAACTCCCAGAATGCCCCAGCCAGCATGCTTGAGGATGAATGGACTTCAACTCCCAGAATTCCCCAGTCAGCAGGATGAAGGACTTCAACTCCCAGAATTCCCCAGCCAGCATGCTTGAGGATAAATGGACTTCAACTCCCAGAATTCCCTGGCCAGCATGCTTGAGGATAAATGGACTTCAACTCCCAGAATTCCCCAGCCAGCATGCTTTAAGATGAATGGACTTCAACTCCCAGAATTCCCTGGCCAGCATGAAGGTAGTCCTCAACTTACAACAGTAATGGAGCCTCTTAAGGTCATAAGTCATGATGGTTTTAAAGCGGGTCATGAGACCAGCAGCAAACCACTAATTGAATGTGACGGTCATAAAGGAAGCACCATAGTCATTAAACGAAGACTGCAGTCATTAAACGAAGCCATCGCTTGCTGTGAGGCATTTTTAATGAAAACTAGACGTAAACATCCATTTTGGGCAAAAATGTCACACACCGCTAACATGATGCAATACCCTGGAAACAGCAGCCTGGTTGCTAAGCACCCAAAACTCAGTCACATGACACCCCCCAAGGGTGGGTGGGGGCGGCCATCAGAACCACGGAGTTCACTTTATGACAAGCTGTCGTCTTTGCTTAACGACGGCCATAAAGAAAATCACACAATTATGTCCATAACGGGCATTCTCCATCAACGGTCGCATGTCGACTGTACACGCAGTCCTCAATTTACAACGGTTCATTTGGTGACCATTCAAAATTACAACGGCAGCGAGGAAAGTGACCGGACTGTTTTTTTATAGTTACAACCTTTTATTTATTTATTTATTTTATTTATTTATTTTCTTGGATTTATATGCCGCCCTTCTCCCTATAGGACTCAGGGCGGCTTACAGCATATTAAAACACTTAAAACATCATCCCCCCATAAAAACCTGTTAAAAACCAAATATTTTTTCGCTGTATAATTAGTTAAAATTAAATTAAGAATTGTCCCTGTTTAAAAATTCTCCCTAGGCCAGACCCGCTTGTTGAAAAAG